ACTCCTGTCCTGTGCTACTACGACCCTCAGAAGCCTTTGACACTATCAGCAGACGCTTCATCATATGGCTTAGGAGCCGTACTCCTCCAAACCGACGACGAGGGGAAGCGACAGCCAGTGGCATATGCCTCCAGGGCTATGTCACCAACAGAGCAAAGGTATGCTCAAGTGGAAAAGGAGGCTCTCGCTGCAACGTGGGCGTGCGAGCATTTCAGGATGTATGTGCTCGGACTGCACTTCGTGATTGAGACTGACCACAAGCCATTGGTGCCTTTGTTTTCGACGAAGAGCATTGACGAAATGACACCACGACTTCAGCGTTTTCCCATGCGTGTGCTCGAATACGACTTCACGATTGTGCACATTCCAGGAAAGGACATGCACACTGCCGACGTGTTGTCGCGAAAGCCACTACAGTGCCTAGATGAAAACCTCGCGTCAGCGATCGAAGAGTATGAACTACTGACGATCGAGCAACTGCCAGCCTCGACTGACATGCTAAACAAAACTAGAGCCGAGCTGCAAAAGGACAAGACGACGTCACTCGTCATGCACTATTGTGCAACAAAATGGCCCAAAACGGAGACGTTGACACCAGAAGTGCGCAAGTATATGCAAGTGTCGCCGACGAACTGTCAGTTGTACATGGACTCCTGCTCAGGGGAACAAGACTCGTCTTTCCTCCAAGTCTACGCCAGGAAGTACTGGAAAGACTTCACACAGGACACCAAGGTATTGTCAGGTGTCGAGCGAGAGCACGCGAGTCTACATGGTGGCCAGCGATCAGCCAAGACATCGAGGTGTTCGTGAGCAGATGCCCAGCCTGCGAGAGGCACCGCCAAGCACCAACCGAGCATCTGCTTCAAACTCCTCTCCCAGAACGTCCTTGGCAAGTGGTCGGCACCGATTTGTTTTACTTCAAAGGAAGAAACTACATCCTAGCCGTCGACTACTACTCAAAGTTTTTTGAACTTGAAGAGCTGCACGGGACACTGACGAAGCATGTTGTCCATTTCCTGGAAGACCTGTTCGCTCGCTATGGCATTCCAGATATCGTTAGGTCGGACAACGGCCCACAGTATAACTCACTCGAGTTCGCACAATTTCTGAGTGGCTGGGGTGTAGAACATGTGACATCTAGCCCACACTATGCCCAGAGCAATGGTGAGGCTGAGAGAGCGGTCCAGACGGCCAAAAACATTCTGCGAAAATCTGACAGGGTCATTGAAGGCCTTCTGGCACACCGAGCAACGCCAGGCCCTGAGGGCTACTCCCCTGCCGAACTTCTCATGGGCCGCAAGCTAAAGACAAATGTTCCTACCATACCTGAGGCATTGCAACCAAAGTGGATGTATCGATCCACGTATCGACAACGAAACAAGGCCATTCGGGAGAGGGAGGCGGAAAACTACAATATACGACACAGGACGCAAGAAAGAGAGCCCCTCCATCCAGGTACGGTGGTCTACGTCAGGCAAGGCACCCAACAACAAGGAACCGTTGTTGGACCAGCAGATACACCGAGATCATACATCGTCCAGACAGCCGCTGGGAATGTCCGACGTACAAGAAAGCACCTGCACGCAGTGCCTCAGGGAAATCTTCCTAACAATGGAAAACCGCCCTGCCCAGAAGAGGCCATTCAAGTCACCCGCAGCGGTCGAGCCGTGAGACCACCAGAACGTTTCAGCCTTTAGTTGAGCCAAAGACTCGCTTTTCAGGAGGGGGAGGTGTCGTGTACGGCGAACTGTTGTGGCGCGTTCTCAACAGAGGGCGCCACCTCACCGGCGCACGGGGCAGCAAGCAGAGGCAGCGCGGCCAGAGGGACGCTGGCAAGAGGGCGTAACGACTGAGTATCAATAAACATGTTCTCTCGTGACATATGAATGTTCGACCTCGGAAACATGACAGCAACTAAGGAGAGGACCGCAAACTAAGGATCGCAAAAAACTTGCCACTCATAAAAAGTTCTTAGGTGTCTTTCAAATTTATTGTAGCATGAACTACACTGGCCGAGGTTGAGCAGTTTCGCATGGCTCTTGGAGAGCCGTGCTGCGCATGTGCGAGGAGCAGCGACGTCGCACGGTGCACAGCTGACGCACCGGAACCGCCGCCGCCACGCATGCCGGAGCTGGTCTCCGCATTCCAGAGGAGTGACGTCATAGCCGCGGCAGATGCACTGGCGCCGGCGCATGCCCAACTGTGCGCCTCCGTTGCGCAGTAGCAAAGTCTGATGCTGCACCGGAGCCGCTTGATAGCGCCTCTCATTTTGTGCGCATGCGCAGAGGTATCAGTGGGGGTATAAAATATAGCGGGGCATTTGCCAGTGTGGTATAGCCATGGAGAAGGAGAGTGAAATTGCTGCTGTCACATAATGCGTATACCGTGTGTGTGTCATTGGAGCAGCAGTAAGCATGATGATAAAGCTAATCCCAGACAACCAGGAAAGCTAAAAATAACCACCTGAACCTAAGCTTTCCATTTTCCCAGGGTGGGCAGACTGAGTTTTCCCTGGGGGGGGGGGGGGGGAGGGGGAGGGGGGAGGGGGGAGGGGAGGGGAGGGGGAGGGGGGGAGGAAGGAAAGGAGGGAAGGAAGGGAAGGGAAGGGGGAAGGAAGGGAAAGGGAAGGGGGGGTGCTGCAAGTTCATCTCTCGCCAGAATTGGAGATTGAAGCTAACGAAAGCACGCTGGGATTCAATTTCCCATGTATTTTGTCAATAAAGGCAATGTGGGTGTTATTTTGTTTACATCCCGCTACTAGAAGCTCATTACATGGCACGTAAACAGCGTCTCGGTAAGGATCATGGCCCGGGCCCGGAGGGGGGGGGGCTCTGCCCCCCCAGATTTCACCAGGGGGGACACAAGCCCCGATGCCCCCCCCCATAGTCTACGCCTATGATGAGAGTTATAAATCCACTCAAGGAGCTGGGCATCTCTGTAGGAAATTATGTTGTTTCTACAATTGGCGACCTGGATGAGTGGGGCCTTTCTTTGTGCGGAAGAAATTGTTTAGGGGCTGGAGAATGCGACCGCAGTCAGGTATGAAGCATTTGTGAAAATTGAGCAGGTCAGAGATTTCGTGCAGCGACCTCGTCTCCATGAGGCTACTCTCCTCACATACGCGCAAAGGTCGTCTCTCTCGCTCTTCAGCGGGGCCCAGTGGTCCCGCTATGGTGCGTGACCAACCGGTCCATCCAAGTTGGTAAAGTTAACGTCAGTTGCAAGCGTCGAGCCTCTGTCCAGGAGTCGGAAGGGCACAAGAGGGGTAATGGTGCAAGCTTGGTGCGTTAGCAATGCATGCAGCTTCTGGTCTAACCCCCCAACCGACCTCCTCTGCACAAAAAAAAAAGGCCCCAACTTGTCTGGGTTGACAATTGTAGAATTGCGGGTATGTGTTCTAATTTAAGGGTGATAAAAGCAGTCCAACTCTGTTGTGTATTGAATTGGTTCTTAGTTTTATGCTCCTTCTGAAGGTGACCGCACACGGAGAGCCTGAAACATAACCCCTGGGTCCAGTTGGCATGAGACGAAGAATAGAACCCAGAACTGTTTCAATACACAATGAAGTTGCACTGTTTTTATCGTCCTTAGCTTAGACCACATACCCACATACTTCTCTATGGGTTTAATTTTATGCTATATTTGTCATTTACTTGCCATCCGAAGGCATCAGACTTTCTGAGGCATCAGACTTTCTGAGTTCATGAATATAGTCAGATTAAAACTAACTCGGCCTGTAAATGGACAAGTGGAAGCTAGGGTACAACCCTCATGGGTTCAGCTGGGTCTTTTTCGTTTAAGCATGACGCAATAGTAGTGAAAGGCTTGGAGAAATTATTCATCATTCTATTAACAAATATTTGGCCAAAACCATTACCGTATTTGCTCAAGTAATAGCCGCACTGTTAATGAAGAAAACCTGAGGGTTCTCTTTTCTGTGGCGCACGCAGATTGCCAACCGCGATCGACACCATGATTCCATCTGTTTACAGGACAGAGATTATGTCTTCGTGCGAAGATACCATCTGTGAGGATTGCATTTGTATTGAGAATCATGTTCTCGGTCTGGGTATTCGCTGTGTTATTTATGTGCAATGTAATGATTGGCTGTATATGTGTTCTGTAGGAAAGTAGGTGCAAGGGCCTTGTTCATAAATAGTGCGGTTATTACTCGAGTAAATATGATACTTGCTTTTATTTTGCTTTGAACTCAAAATTCACTTTTCGGACATGCCTAGAAGATTGTGTTGGAATGGACTGGTTTGAGCAAAGGCCTTCTTGTGCAGCAAGCCTACTGGTATAACTTTATGACCGAGAGAGTTTTAATGAGTGATTAACTGCCTTGCAAGTTAATAAAATGTGTTCCTTGGGTTATTGAAAAAAATTAGACTGCCGCTTGCGAAATGACAGATACATACAAAATGCTTTTGTAGAGGCTACTCTTCATCGGGGATTTCGGGAAATCCCCGATGCAGAGCAGAGACTATGCAAAATAAAATGCATAGTAACATTACGAAAAATGAATTGAGCTTTTTTTTTAATATAACCAAATGTTTATTTTTCTTTGCTCATGCTCTTACATTTCTTGGTTGTTTTCTTAAAAAAGCCACTACTTAGGACAAAAGTCAAAATTAAAGCGTGCCTTATACTTGAGGTCCAGGAATGCAGTGGTACATTGTTTAAAGGTATTGTTGCCGTCCAAGTTTTTGGACTCTGAGGAGACCCTGAAATTGTCCAAATAATCACGCGGTCCGAAAAATCGATTTCAGCCAAAATATCAAATTTCTGTGCATATCCCGCTACATATTGGCCACTTCCTCCTTGCTTGATGTCAATTTTAAGTTCTCGTGCAACTTCCGCTTTATATTGTTCACTTTTCATTTGTTTGCTGATCTGCTTGATCCAAAACTTGAAAGTATAAAACAGAGAGGACGAGGACAGGAATAGGAACACAACTCCAAATTTTTCACCCTCTCGTTTCTCGGCTACTCGTGTTGCAGAATCTCCCGAAAGGCACGGGCTTCCTGGACTCTATGGTGGGGCACCTGCCCAACTGGAGGAAGTCCTCTCCGTCTTTCCCGGTGCTGTCCTGGCGCCAGTTCATGGACATGGTGCACATCCAGGTCAACCCCCTGGCCGGAGAGGAGCACATGAAGGAGCTCATCCACCAGCTGCAGCTCATGGGAGAGGTGGGCCCGCTTCCCCCATTGTCCAAACCTAGAGCCACTAAAGGAGCTTTGCCGATCAGAGCAACCATTCTTCAGCCATTTCGTTGAATAGGCCCGTCGTCGCCAGTTACCTCGAGTTTTATCTTGGAAGTGCTTTTCTGGTCTCCAGAAATGTTAAAACAGTCCGCGACAGTGCAAGACAGTACTGCTCGAGCTTCCCAAGACCATGTCTAAAGCCCAGGAAGCCTCATTTTATAATCGAAACTGTTGGCAATTGCGCTGCCTCTGCACCAATCAACAAGATGGCGGCGCCCACAATGAAAATTGAGGAATGGAGTGTCGATACTTATTCAATGACTCTAATTAAATTAAACCATCTGAGAATGCATGTAGCACTGGGCAAATTGGTGGATCGTCTCGCGTTTAATAATAATATTAATACTTATTATATTGTGTGTGCCCTAAAATACCGGCAGGTCTTCACTTTGCTGCAAAGAGTAGACGATTAGGTGGAACGATTTTAGGGAAACTCCCCAAGGTGGAGAGGATATCCGAAAAAATAAATTGACTTCCACCTAAAATGTAGTGCAACTCGCGCCCTCTAGGCATCCAGTGGCCACTGAAAAAATCTGTGTGGTTGAGGATTCAGTCCCAGTACCTCTCCAATACTAGCCGAGCGCCCTACCAACTGAGCTACTCACGAGCTATCCCTCTGTATGGCAGTTGGTAGAGCAGTTGGTAGTTTGCTCCGCTAGTATCGGAGAGGTACCGGGGTTGGATCTCAGACCAGGCGGATTTTTTTGGCATCCAAGTTTTTGACAAACATCAGAGGGATCTGATAAAGCCCAAATGTACTCTCAGATTGCAGTGTGGTAAGAAGCCCTTACACTTGCTTCTGTAAAATGAAAGAGTTACTGACTGTGTCGACGCATGCATTATCTGAGTGATTAAAAAGTAGTTGTGTGCATGTTAAAGGTGAGGGGAAATATGTGGTATGGACATAAAAGGGGGCCTGATTTCTAGTCGAACGAGAAGGGCCACGAATATTTACATCACGTAAAAGCAGTATACCATATCTACGGTTCTATTTACTTGCTTGTAGAGAAATATTATGTCATGCCGTGCTCCTCTGCTGAAGAGGGGTGTCAGGAAAGCTTTATCAAGAAAAAACATGTACCGTAAAATACCGGAGAAGCGCCACCCCAATTTCGCTGAAAAACGGCTGAAGCTAAACATGGGCGCTTGTGCGGCCCAGGTGCTAAAAGCCAAGATGGCGGCCCGCGAAGATTCGTGCGGTTGTATGCATGCAAACAGAACCAGAGAAACCATGCTGACTTGTTTATTTCTGAACTATAAACGGCCACTTACTCGACACTTGCTCGTCCTCGCTGAATCCAGAGAACGACTCTTCCGAGTCACTGCAAAAGAGCAGGTTGATGCCTTCGTCGTTGACGCTCTTGCGACTCGAGGGGATCGCGATCGCGGGCTTTCCAATGCCCGCAAGATGGTCGTGCAGGTGTCCGTCCTCGCTGCCATCGAGTGCGCCACTGATGCCGCGTCCCTGAATGACTGGGTGATAATCTCTTCGGGTACTGCAGCCCAAGCTGCTGACACAAAGTTCAAAACGTCCTGCCTTGAAGGCTTCTTGAGGTTGCCTTTTGCCGTCTTCTCACCCTTTCTCATAAACTCCGCCCGCGATGAGCGGAGGGAGTTCTTGAAGGACTTGTTCCAGTAGGCATTTGCGGGTTGAAGAATTCCTGTGCACCCTCCTGGAATATACACAATGTCTGTGTCAGCCGCTTCAGCTGCGTCCACAACGGCCTTGGTCTTGTGGATCGGCGCTTGATCAGTCACCAGCAAACGGCGAGCATCGTCGGTGTCAGGACCCCAGACATGGTTGAGCCACTCGAGACACTTCTCAGTTGTCATCCACCCGTTTTTCTCATGATGTTAAGCGAACATTCTCTGCAGAAACAAAAAAAAGATGAGCATAAAAATTAGTGACGCAATTAATGATTCCCCTTGCTGAGTGAATGTTTGGACACTGCGTCGTGAGCGTTACGGTTACGTCATGAGTGATCTCTGGAAACTGCTGCCGAACAAATGAACACAAGTCATATCGTCATCACGACTTGAGGGTGGGCAGAGTCTAAGAATTGATAGCTCGTATCATGAGATTCACTGTGCCAGTGAGGCACTTAGTGTGCCTAGGTTAGAGAGTGCTTCCAACTGCTCGATCGGGGTCGCATCGTTTACGAGGCGCGTTTGCAATAGGGAGTTGCGAAATGTCGGAAGAGTGGATCTCTGCCCGCTTTTCTCATCGCCACACGACAACACGACGCATGCGAACTTACAGCCAATCTGCACAGGTGGCGTCCTTCATTAAATTGCAATCGCTCTCCATGGTTTGAGTTGCTCCCTCTCTTCGATCTAGGCTATCTAAGCACTCGCGAGCGTCATGCACCACCCACGACCACAACGAAACAGTACCCCAAACTATGGTAGCTAAACATCCATACCTGGTATCCGAAGGCCCATGTATGCCCGTGGAGGAACCCTCCCAGTGGGTTCTTTCAGGACGACGAACGCCAAAAGTTTCGAACCCAATGCTCGGGCTGCCAGGGCCACCGTGAAACAACGATGGGTGCAGCGCCCGCAGCCGGTGCAGGGTGTAAGATTGACAGGTGGGGAAACGAGATCAAAATGAGCGACCGGATTGTGTCCCCCTCGGTTTTCTCTTTTTCTGTGACTCTCACTCCGGGTAGGCGACCGGTGGCGACCGGTTAAACTGACGGAGATGGTTTCTCGTGGATTTTCAATGGAGGACTGTCGTGCTCTCGGTTTATTTTGCGCACTCTCCCATAGAGTTCCATGCAAATCCGATTCCGATTTTTTTCTTCACGTTGCAGCGCCATCTGTCGCAAATCGGCGGTACCCGCAAGCAGATAAGTACACAATCCGGTCACGGCGCTGCGGTAGGCTTCTATGGGCCGTTTCCCCACCTGTCTATCTTACACCCTGAGCCAGTGTTTGCAATCCTAATACTGCTTTCTCCAGCCACTTTGTGGGTACACGTCGCTCGTGGTATTTTGTGTTCCATTAGGAAATTGTCACACAGACACATTGTTTATGATGGTAAGCGTCTGGCGCAACCCGCATGGCTGCTGTAATGGGGCTGGCCTTTTTGTGGTATATATTCAACATTATAGGTGGCACTAGGAGCCATGCAAACAATACATAACAGCTGGGTTATCCATGCGGACCATTGCTTGATCCATGTTGGCAATGTTGTAAGACGTGTAGGCTTGGCACGTTCGCAATCTTCTAATCCTAGCGCGAAACGCATTGACGGCTTCTGCGCAGTCGGCAGGGGTTTTCTGACTATCGTTGGTCGACACGCGCATAGTTACCCCAAACCGCTTTTTCCAACGTTTGATATATTGTCTATACGCCTTGAAGTTTGCGAGGTTGAGGTTTACAACAATGCCAAGCGCTTATTCTGCTAGAAGCCGGTTACTCGCTTCATGGCCAGCATCTCAATCAGTCTGCAGGTACTCAAAGAGTGCGTCGTCTAACTTATCACTAAAAACAGGACCACCATCAGTCAACTTCTGCTTCATCTTCTGTTTGCCGTAATCCTGATGCTTCAGCGTGTCGTACTGCGAGTGCCACTCGCGGATGTGTTTACAATCGATTTTGAACTGTCGAGAGGTGCGACTCACGTTCTTGCCCGACGCCAGTCAATGACTTCAACCTTCCTGGATATTGTGTACGAATGCATAGTACCGTAAGTATCCAGTTGCTTGTCGCACGAGGAGTGTCGGTCCAGCGGCAGTGAGTCGAAATGGGAAGCGTTTATCCAAGGTTTTTCTAACAAAAGCTCCGTGGCTAGTTGGGTTTGTCTTGAGGTCCATCTGCGTTATCTGCACTTCTATTGGTCCTAACATCGCTATCAGTTCAACATCTCCAGTGTTGTGGGAACCCCACACAGTGCCTGGGTGACCTAGATAATAAAGTTCAGTCCTCGTGTCCAATAGTTTCCTCCTTTCCACTGCAAGAAAGTGGACATCCACGCCCCGCTGGTGGTCGTCGCGTGTGCCGCCGGCGTTTCCGAGAGGGTGGGCACTTAACGTGTACTTTGCACGATTCCCAAGTTCTGGTAATATTTATAGTGGGCGCTTGTCCGGGAATGGGCACTTCCGCGGTATTTTACGGTATTCAAAATACAATTGGTGTTCAAATAGTAATCACAGACAATGCATGTAACCTTTTTCAAACAGATTTTATTGCCCGAGTTTTAAATAAAAAAATTCAAAGAAATAGAGCAGGATTCTAGCCCTGATCTAACCAGAGCACTAGATACATAAATTTTGGTGACTGGGCTCATAAACTGATGCTTAATGCAAAACATAGCATCTTGGTTGCGTTACCAATGATAAGAGACATGTCAGTGGAAAATGTCGATGCAATATCTATGTACATGCCAAGTTTTCTTACAACAGAGGCACGTTTGATTAGCGTTCCATCCAAAACACGGTTATAACTTACTGCATTGTGATGTCTACTCAATAAATTAGTTTTTGAAAGATTTAGTTGCAAACTGTTAAAGGGAAGATGGGGCACTTCTACATTTGAGAAAAAACGCATGAATTGCGTTCATTTGGCCTTTAGAATAACAGATATCAAAATTATATTTCAATGCGACGCGCCGGAGAGCCACAAGAGCAATTTCAAAATAGGGCTGAAGCCCCGCCCCCCTAGCCTTGGGCAGCCAAAAGAGCTGTCAATGACGTCACGGACAGTGACTGTCTTTCGCGTTTTTCTCGCGTTTAACAATACTTACGCAGCCAATGGTTTGGGTATTCGGGTTCACGGGGTAAAAATACACTAGAATTCACTTCTAACTCATTTTTTCCAAGAAGCTCCGTAGCTTCCCTTTAAACACCAGTTGAACTATCCGGCTACATTTTGCTGCAGAACATTGCAGTTGACACTCAAAAACCTAATGTCATCTGGAAAAATAAACAACTGATTATTTGCTACACATGTAATGATACCAAAGATAGAAAAAAAAAAAAATTAAGAGGGCCAAGTATACATCTCTGTGGGACAACAAAAGTTTAAATTTTACAAGAGCTACAATTAAGTAGTAATTTGGGCCCGCTGGTACTAATCAAACATGGTTAATAAAAATCTGCTTAAAAAAAAAAAAAAAGGGGGGACGAAGAAAGGAACAAACATGATCGACAGGATGGAGAAAATGAGCTCCGTCCTGTCGTGCTTGTTCCTTTCTTCGTCCCCATTTTTTTAAAGCTGATTTTCATCAATCAAGTTTTAAAATATGACCCTTGAACAACTATTAAAGGGACCATGAAATGATTTTAAAAGCGAATTTCATCCACTGCACGTCGTAAAAGATGTGAAAAGAAACACAAAAACACAAAAATAGGGAGCCAAAAAAAATTATTTGCTATAGAACTTTTAAAAGAAAACTGGACTCTTTTGCGCCTTCTATCCTTTGAAAGCTCGGCCTTTTCACTACGATGCATCTGCGGAAATGGAGCACGTCAGCCGAATCCACGTCGCCTATTGGGTAAGAGCCTACCTCACCAGCACCGCTATCGTAAACAATAAATAGCCTTCGAATGTTTCCTAAAAGTTTTGTTAAATAATATTCAGATCCACATTTTGTAGCATAATTAGAGATATGTGGCGAAAATTGCGAAATTTTATAATGCTGAGAGCCAAGCGCCATCTATCGTGTGGTAAACGAAGCAACTACTGCGCGTGCGCAGTAGGCCAGGGCCGACTTAGTTACTTGGATCACGACGATCGACGAACGTTTATTTTTCTACGTGTTCTTCTCGCGCGTGCCGACTTCAAGCAGCAAGAAAAAAAAGTACTCAAAACAGACCACGACGAACAAGAACGCTGGATCCACCAACACCCGAGAAAAGCGACCAAAGCCACGAATCCATCGACTCCGACAAAGCGAGCTGATCAGAATATAGGCCTAGCAGGCACTCCAACTCGGCGCAGCGTTGCTTTGTCCCAAGACCGTCTGCCTACGACCGGCTGGCGTGCTGAATGGAATATGCCCGCGCTACCCTTGTGGACCCTTCCCATATTATAGTTTGATCGCTGTCCTCAATTTTAGATTAAGAGGTGAGGTCAATATCTTCCCCTTGTTTTCCGAAGCAGTGTTGACGAACACTCGTCGAAAAGGGACTCGTCGATTCTATCTTCTTGTTTTGTGTGATATAGAGCTGAAATAAACGCCGTATGGATTACCTTCGTAACACGGTATGTACACTTTGTTATTGGTATGCCATTTTTATTCTGACAGACTGCACGTCACTGTCGAGCTATAACAGTTCGTGGGAGGTATACGTGCAATGCCGGTCCAACCTTTCCTTGCCGAGTGTCGCGTCAGTATCGAGTTGCAATCGTAAAAGATCGGTCCCGAAGCGCTTACCAACAGCGCGAATATAGCACTTCCATCGAACGCGCGCGTCCGCTCCGAGTGTGAACAGGTATTTACGTGGCTCTTGCTGACACTTGTAGTTCAAACGTATTTTTTTTAACGTCAGCTCGCTCTTGCATTTCCGAGGCCGCAAAAAACACCGCGGCAATTTGTTTCCATCTACGTCGCTTTGCAAACGACTGACACGGGCCGCCTTTTACCAACAATGACAGTTGGGTTGACTTCTGGAGTCTTCACCGGAAGACTCGCTGCACTTCCCAACAGGCATACCGGCGTATGGGACTAGTCCCATGCTGTCGCTGTAGCACAAAATATCTCATTGAATTTCGCTCAGCTGCGATGCGGCGATGAGAGGCGCCGATTCAGAAAATACGTCGGTGACATCAGCGAAGTAAAACCTACCGGCGCACCCCAACTCGTCGCCGCTAACGCTCCCATTCTCCTACTGCCGAGAGAACTTCCGGTTCCGGAAACAGCGGACGTCAGGGCTCGTTTTGCGGTCAGTTGGAGAGAAAGAAAAAGTCGATATTTCATTAATTTTTTTGTGTAGAAGTTAATAAACCGAGACGAAAGCGGATGCCTGTTCGGCATTCAGTGAACATTGACGGTTCAATGTAAAAGTTATCTGGAAAAAGTAGAAAGGTCATTTCATGGTCCCTTTAAAGTATGTAATCAGTTACACAACTTTGGGCTACACCAAATAGCAATAATTACTGTAACATCTTATGGTGTTATGAATTTTGCGCTTGCCAGAAAATATTGAAAACGAGCTTACACCACTCGGAGGAGGGAACATGCAATAATTGTTGCATCACTGGTTTGCATTTCTAACTAACGAATGCATTAAAAGTACCTTCTTTTGCTTTTATATCGCATGAACATTGTTGATCATTTTATAAAATAAAAAATAAACTACTTTGTAAATTACTTGTATCCCAAAATACGAAATCTTATTGTTGAAGCCAGGCAACACTGTCCATAAGTCAAATTTTGTCGAACTTCGCAAAAAGTCTGAAGGTTCACTGAACCAGCTGACATCGAACCTCGAGGCTTGACAATGGTTTGTCTGGATCACAACCTACACTGAACTGTTTATGAGAGCATACTCCTTTCTTTCAGGACAATATCCCTTATTTCGTTTTCTCCAGTGCTAGAACATTATACAGGTACATTTATGTTCCCTGGAGGTTGACAAATCTCGTGTCCTTTTTTCTTCAGCGCACCGACAAGTGACAATTTTTCATCTCACACTGAAAGCAGACACCGAAAAATGACAAACCTGTGGGAAAAAATAAACCTAACATTAGGTCGTCGATTTTACGGCGATCACATCATAAGGAAATTCGGCCAATGCTTTTTGGCGTTACTCTACTTTTAAGCAATATGTTTTGTATGCAGTCGCTGACCGATTATCCGGGCGCCGATAGTTCGGACTTGTTCGATATTTCGGACCTGAAGGAGGAACCGCGGCCTACCCAATAGTAATGGCGCATATTCACTACCGACTACTTGAAATTTTAAAGTTAGATTTTTCTGACAAAATCGTCGCAAGTGATCTGCGGGAACAGCGGCGGGAAACACCACCGGGAAGGCGCCATTTTAGATTCTATGTTGGCTTGTTGGCTGCACATGGATTGGCTTGGTTTGGTAACTGGATGCATCTTCTGTGGTGGCAATGTAAATGCAACTTTCTCAGAGGCTGTTGGAGTGTGAGATGCGGTAAACGGAGCTTGCAGAAAACAGAACATTTGCAGTGCGGCAGCACCAGGTAAAGCTTTGGTGTCAGCTTGGGCAAAACAAAACCAAACACTCGAACTACATCTATTTGCTGCAGAGCAAGCACGTCTAATGTAGCTTCTGCTTTTTTTTTCTTTATGTTTCTGTCATTCTCTCTTGCACTCTTTCTCTGGGAAATGCTCGTTTCACGGAGGAGAGCACCGCTGCACCTCAGAACATTTGATGTTTTCCCGCTGCCAGAAGTAACATGGATGCACTCGAAGAAAACGTTCGGCTGGCATTAATGTCCAATCGGTGAGCAGACGAGCGCTGCATCAGCGTTTGCCTGGCGGTCAGCCTATCAACATTTGTACCTGTTTGGAAAACGGAAATGGTTAGATGCCCGCCATATAACAGATTTTTCGTTCAAATCAGTCCTCGCTTAGGGCAAAAATTTTCAGTAAAAGATTTTTTTTAGTTGTAACTAATTTTGTATTTTTCCCACCAGCAGGTGTTTATCAGCGTCTTCCGGTTCAAACCAAAAAGCATACGGTGCACTTGAAATGCTCTTCCCTCTATGCGGTTCTCAGCTGTGAGCTGACAAATGCCGGTGCTGTTTGCAGGTCCTTTACACAAAGTCTGAGAGTGAAGACATGGTGGTGCTGAATCCGAAGTGGCTCTGCAACTCAGTCATCGGAGAGCTGCTGTCCCAGGAGCAGCTGGAGCGTTCGCGCGTGACCGGTTGCTACACGGTCGAAGACTTCCAGTTTGTCTACCCCGAGGCCGACGCCATAGATCTCCTACAGGCAAGCTCTTCCCTTTTCTCTGTCTGCCTCTGCTCTGCAGTGAAGATAACCCTGGGTTTGCCTGAAAGCAGAAAAAGTATCTCACCTGCGTTTAATTCATAAAATTTATCATTATAGTCCAATATCGCATCAGCTTCTCTTAACGCAACCATCTTGTATCTCATCTTGTATAGATCATCAAAGTAAAGTGCTCTAATTGCACTTCTAGTAATTGCAGGGTTCTGGCTAGTGGCGACTTCGGCAGAAATGGTGTTACTTGGCCACGACGGGAGATAAGCGAGCATTGCTGACTACTAAGGGCAGTCATCTCTGGTTTAAAACTAGTATTTTTCCAACTTTGAAAAACACAAAAGAATAAAACATGTAGGGAGAGAGACAAACAGTAAGTTTTTTCGAGTAGCAACCGACATTTAATGATGCCACCCTCAATGCGTCAGCCCTTCTCTTCCCTGCCACCCCAAGATCTCTCGGAAAATGAAGGAAACACTTAGGAAAAAAGAACAAAATCGGGAGAAAGGGGAGTCTGTTAAGGAAGAAGAGAAAAAGGATGTAAGGGAACTGTTAATAAAAAAAAAAAATGAAAAGGAACAAGAACAAAAGAAAGAAATATAAAAAAAAATAGGAAAAAAAGAAGAAAAGGATCTGACTACTTTAACTTTTACCTCAGACATTCCACTTCATTCTTGGATAATCTGAGGGAAGGCGATCCCATCGGATCACCACCGGCCATCCGATAGGACTCAATGATTTCTCTGCCAAGTCTGTCCTTGTGTTTCTCGAAAACTCCGGTTGCATGGAAGTGCAGCTCACAGTTCGAACAAATAGGTTATGGTCCACATTGGGGCGAAGAGAGTCTCTGGATCCTCGGGTTACTTCAAGGAAGTGCTTTCCAATGCGAGTGTAGAGGCATCTGCCAGTCATTCTGATGTATACCTACTGTATTTACTCGAGTAATAACCACACTATTTATGAACAAGGACCTTGTGTCTACTGTCCCGCAGAACAGATATACAGTCAATCATCGCGTTGTGCGTAAATAACATAGCGAATAACTAGATCGATAACACGATTCTCCATACAAATGCAATTTTCACAGATGGTATCTTCGCGTGGAGACATTATCCCTGTCCTGTAAATTGCTGGAATCATGCTGTCGATCGCGGTGATTGGCAATCCGCTTGCTCCGTGGAAAAGCGAACCCTCAGGTTTTCTTCATAAACAGTGTCGCTATTACTGGAGTAAATACGGTATCTCCACAGGTTAAGAGAATGGAGTACAGCACTTGCTTTTTGCAGGGGACAAATGGGTTGGCACGTTGAATGGAACAACCTTTTGGAGCACACGGCCGCTAAACTCGGGGAACAAAAAAAATTCTTTGCATTACGACGTAGCAAGGAAGGGGGGGGGGGGGGGGCAGAAGGAATGCCGCAAAGTTTTCTTTTCTCACAGACCCGCAGATCTGTTTATCTTCGCGACCCTTTTCATTGAGGGGCAAAAAATCCCTGCGACTCCCTAGGCGCCCAAAAAGAGCAGCACGATTGAGCGCACAGAGACTACCGTGGTTTCTATGTGTGACTTCACGGCAAAGATTATCGGCTGCAACTAACAAGTTTGGTTGTCTCTAAAAAGGACGGCGGAAGTTTGGGGTAATTCCATTCTAAAATCAACATCGTCAAAGTTGACAGGCTGATATCGTTCTTATTTCCGCCGATAGAGCAGAATTTACTGAAAATATTCATGCAGTTCCTTTCCTTTCTCTCTGCCTTTTGCATATGATTAAAGTGTAACCCGACTTGGCCGAGTCGGAACCAGCCGAGTAGCGTAGTCTGCCTATGGGAGAATTTCGCCTCCAGGCAGGTGGGGGCCCATCGGCGGGATAAAATCATTTTATTGTTTTTTTTTTCTAAGTCGCAATTATTGGCCACGTAGGCTACCAAAAGCGTCGGTGTGGTAGGCTTCCCAAGATTGGCAAAACTGAGATTAATTCTGCTTTTATCAACGGAAATAATAGTAATGTCAGGTTGTCAATATTGACGGTGATGTTTTAAAAACGCTATGGCTCCAAGCTTCTTTCTTGCGCAATCAAACTTGTCACAGTCGATTCAAACACCCATCATCGAATCTGTCGTTCACGACTGATAATCCTGACCCTGACGTCAAGGGTAGGAACTACAGAAGGACGTCACTGAATAAACCTGAACACTACAGGCTCTGGTATGAGCCTCTCGCTTGGAAGACTGTCATGGCTGCTCTTAAGGTCATGTAACGCCAACCGTTTTAATTCCAGAAAATCTAGAACCATTATTTAGAAAATATCACGCTGTTCTGTTCCTCGTTGTTGCTCAGTTGGAATGCCTCTAAGCACAAGCGTCAAAACAGAGGGATGAGGAGGGGGGCGACTCACCCCCCCTCTCTCCCGCGACGTGGAAAAGAGGACAAGGGGCATAAAGGGTTAAGGGGGAAGGCGATTGCCCCAGATCCCGAACTTTTCTTACGGCACTTTCTGACCCCTAATTGTTTTTGTGTGTATGTTGCTTGGTCGCACCCTTTTTTATTTCTCTTCCCCCAGTTTTTTCTCGCCATCCCACGTCGCCCCCTTATCTCTCAAACACTACCAACATCACCATCCACACCGCCTCTCAGGGACCCATGACATTGTTGGATTGAAATCGCCTTCCCGCGCTTATCATCAACGTTACTGAAAGCTCTAAGTTTAAAGATACAATTTTAATGCGAAAGCATTAACTGTCCCATGGAGCGAGCAGACATCGTCAGTTTGAAGCGCGAAAACGGCGCCTTGTTTCCCTGATCCCAAAGGTCTCATTGGCTGGCGCGTGGCGACGAGGCTCCCATTGACCGCGGCGCGCGTCAGTTCCAAAGACCGCAGCCAGATGGCGCTGCATGTCCGTGCTCCCAGCGCGCTGATAAAACTGACTGCTGCAGCCCCATGCCACTATGGGCCCCTCGCCGGTTAAAATGGACACATTGGCACGCGCTTGGAGGCTTCTGCTCGTCTTGCCGCCAACAAACATGGCGCCGCCTCTAGCATCCACATCGTCGGAGGGGCTTCTATGCTTTCGCATTCACAACTCACAAGACGTGCTTGAGCTTTTTTTTTTTTTTTGTCGTTTTGTGTTCTGATTATTTATGTTTTCTTTTTATGCGTTAACCTACCCAACTTCTCTTTTTTGTGAGTGCTGCTCAGATGTCCTTGCCCACTCCCCACTGCAATCCCTTTGGCGGTGAGAGAATAAAAAAATTCACAGGGTCTCTAATGTTATTTCTAAGACAACTTGAAGGCAAAAGCCCAAGCACCAATGCATTAAAGACAGACACATGATTTATGGATGTGGTGGTAGCCTTCCGTTCGTGGTAGAGGGGTACCGTGTTGGACTACTGAACAAAAGGTCACTTGTTCGATGCCAGCCAAGGGACAAGAAAGAAAAGTCTTTTTGGAGGAATATAACGCCTCCGCTAATTCTGGCACAAGTAACGACATCTCGTGGTTCAGTGGCAAATCGCGGTTTTTGGTACCTTTCGTGACGCCAGTTTTTATACCTTTCGTGTGTTAACGTGTTTCCTTCACAAGGCTTTTATGAGGGTCACGAGTGACATCACTAGAGTCATGTTTCATCTCACAAGGGAGGAGGGAGGGAGGGAAGGTGAAGGAGGATGAGGAGGGAGGAGGAGGAGAGGATACCCTTTTCTTCATACCATCCCCCCCCCCCCCCCCCCTCAAGAGCTGCGCTCTAATTTGGCATTACAGGGAATTGTAAACATCTCAATTTTTGCGATACATTTTAAGTCGCAAAATTAGCAAAAATTGGGCCCTCGCGAAAATAAAGGCGTTTGCAGTGGCAGATTTTTATTGTGTATTCAGGATTCCCGAGCAGTCTTAATAAATCTTCGACGTATCATCGGTGGAGCTCACTCGTGGTTCCTTGCTGTTTACATCACTCCTTGTTTGTACGCAGGTACTGGAGAATCTCAAGATGTGCACCCAGTGCGACAACGACGGAGACGTGGAATACGAGTTTCCCTGCTACAACCTTGTGGAGACTCTGGATGGGCTCTGGGACCCGTCCGACCCGCGTTACGCCGGCGGTGTCTACTGCGGCGTCCACGTGCTGCCCTTCGACGACTTCCCGCACGCTCTCGCCTCCATCTTTTCCAGGATACAGGCAAGTTTACTACGGCACCACGGCGGTACTACGAGGGGTGTTTGCAAGCACTTTTTGGTTAAAGTGTGTCAAAAAGTGTCACTGAGCCGAAGAATGTCGGGCATGAGATATTCAAAATGGTATTTTAGGTGGGGCATTTATTATAGTCAGGCTTCCCAAGTATCTTGAAAAGAAATGCACCAAAAGAAGAGAATGTTTCATTCCTGTTCTTAGGTAGAAAAACAAACAGTCTGGTTGACACAGGCTGCTACTTACACAATGGCGCCACGTGAAACAAAAACTCAAAAGCTTCTTTGAGATGAATACCCAAAAGCAGATGGAGCCGATTCGAGCACGTGTCATGCATTTGCGAGTAGCAGTGTCAATCGGACAATTTGTTTTTCCCCTTGTGCGTCGAAATTGTGATTTTTCTTTTCTTGCATCTTACTCAAAAATCCACACTCACGAAATTTGATTGCGATAAATGCATCGCATGCCGTTCATTGGCTCTTTTAATCCTTTTGCTTCCACGGCATCAACGCCTGTTTCCGCGAGCTGTACTGCACAACTTTTCTCCCCCGCGTACTGCCGTGTTATGGTATCGTAAAGAAAGCTCTATAACTTCCGCTATATAACTCGCAGGTGAACACTTTTTACTTTATTTTGTTCGGGAATGTCTTCCGGAAGCAATGCACTCAGAGTACCTTGTGGGTATGGGTCTTGAAGCGACGGACATGTGAATTGCCACACACATCGCCTTCACAATCACTGCAGCTCTCACCGTAACTCTCATCGTTGCTACTTGCTTGGTCCGATATAGCTTCTGGATCGTTGCCACGGTCACTTTCGTAATCTCTTTCGAACACCAGCTCGAGAATTTCCTCACATGTGAGCGTCTTCTTCTTTTGGGACGCCACGTTTCAAACGCAGCGAGCGAATTGACAAAGAAAACAAAGCTGCGAGCTTTGTTTTCTTTTCATAAACAACCAAAGCTCGAAAATAGTGGATAACTATGTCCATCTGGTGTGAAAAAGACACTAAACATAACAACCAGAAACCAGTGTACAGGAAAGCGCCACCTACTGGGGCTTTTAAGAAACAATGCATTTTCCGGAGGACGGTGATTCGCCGGCTTCTCGTACTTTAACCTTGGCGGAAGTGGCCGGCGGATCACCGGCTTTGGAAGCGAATGGGTTAAATGGTTTTGTCTACAGCATGTAAAACGACGCTTTTAAGGCACCTTAGACAGCCTGCAAAAATCAGTTTCTTAATGTGTTGCGCTGTAATTTACTACAGAGGTGCAAGCAGGGGGTAGAAGTTTACAGTGAAAAATCAGGGAATTCACTTTAAAAAACCACAGAAACCTGTTCTGGGCAATCTACGCCACCACTTTGCAGACAATGAACGCGTAGGGAGAAGTGCTGCCGACAGACGCCGTACGCCGCGTCGAGGGAGCGCCGGCCTATTCAGGTTCTTCTGCAAGATTGTCTGCTATCATAACTAGAGGAGTGCGAATATCAAAATCTTTAGAAGAGAATCGAATTGAATAATAAAGGTTACGAATCGAATAAAATATTTTTGAATAAGAATAGTAGTTTTGAATAAGAACATTTTTAACGCAAATGTTTTCTATTTGATGTGAATTACACAAGAATGCTCAATCAAAGCAGAACTGGAATTTTTTTTTTTCAACAAACATTTACGCAAAAGGTAAGTTTTCTTGCAATAAGAAAAGTGTCACACATGTGACTGATAGAAAACAGATGAAATAAAAGATCAGTCAATAAAACACCATTCAGGGAGTGAAGTTACAGAACATAAATGAAAGTAGATAAGTGGAGGTGGGTCAGCAAGCCAGAACCTAGTCGAACATAGCGTCGCCAATGAACGCAACCATGTCAGCATAAACGAAAGTACACAAGTGGTGGCTGGTCGGCAAGCCACAATACAAAGTCGAAGATAGCGTCACGCAGCTGCACTGACTTTGTGCAATCTCTTTTGACGCGGGTGAACGCAACCAAATGAACGTAAACGGACGTACACAAGCGAAGGCAGCTCGGCAGGCCACAGTAGAGTTGGAGATTGTTGATCACACCGCGCAGCCACACTGACTTTGCTCCATATCTTTCTGTGTGCAATAGTTCTGTCAATAGAGGGCACCACAAAAAACACTAAATTAAGAATGCTTTTTTTTTTTTTTGGTGGAGGGAGCTGGTTTTACTTTTACAAATGAAAACAGGTAGAAATAAATAACAAAAGGAATACTGGCAAACTGATGAACTGGAAAATCAAGCAGAAAATAACGCGAGTCAAATATCGTCAATAGCCAAGGTCAGCCATAAATCCATATCCGATCCGTAGTACCTTGGCTACTGTAGTGACTGTAGGAAGGACTGTAGTGAGTGTAGTCGCTCGCACTTGTGCTCACGACGATGCACGTGCCGTTTAACGTCATAGTCCTTTATCAAATCTATCGCAGCGTTTGCTTCACGACCACTTCGCCAATTCCGCGATCCAGACATCATGGCAAGTGACGGACAGATCGTGCTACCGTGTGCAAATAAATTTCCAGTACTTCATACCAAAAAAAAAAAAAAAGGCACTTAGGGTGGCTTTTAGGTTTGCCAAGCTCGAAACCATGCTGCGCACTCCAAAAACAAAACAGGGAATTCGACCTCAAGTTGGCACTAATCAGCGAGTTCCGTGTTACTCATAGTTTTTGAACTATTCGAAGAACTTGAATACTTCGAATATTCAAATACTTGCAGCGAAGGTATGAAGTGAATCAAATCGAATAGCAACCTTTATTTTCGAAGTTTTGAATACCGTATTTACTCGCACAATGAACGCACTCGCGTAATGAACGCACCCCCGAAGTCGGCTCTCAAAATTTCAACTTTTTCTTTCACTCGCGTAATAAACGCACCCCCAACTCGGACGTCAAAATTTTGACCCCCTCCCCCACGCGCGCGAAATGAACGCACTTCTCTGTCCTGGTGCAGCGAGGTCGCGAATGCATGGGCAGCGTGAGCGAACAAAGCGCCTTGCAAAACGTGTTAAAAAGAATTGGCAAAGATCCAACCGAAGCAAAAAAAACGAAAACAACCATGGAAAAGCTTTTTTTTTTTGCACAGCGCAGTCTGGACTTTGGGTTCGCGCGCCGCCGCGCGCAAGGAGGTAGGAAAGAGAAACGGAGAAGCGCTCTAAGCGAAGAAAACAGCTTGCAAAAGGCGGCAAAAAGAAAAAAAAAAAAAACCGCGGAACTAAGAAAAAACAAAAAAAAAGCTTTTTTTTTTTTTTTGCACAGCGCAGTTTGGTTAAGGGGGTCGCGCGCCGCGCGCAAGGAGGTAAGAAAGAGGAGCGGAGAAGCCCTCTAAGCAAACGAAGCAGCTTGCGAAAGGCGGAAGAAAAAAAAAAAAAAAAAAAAACCCAAGGAAATGAAAAAAAAAAGAGGAGCTTTTTTTTATTTTTTTGCACAGCGCAGTTTGGTTACGGGGGGTCGTGCGCCGCTCGCAAGGAGATAAGAAAGATTAGCGGAGAGCCCTCGCCTAAGCAAACAAATGAGCTTGGGAAAGGCGGCAACAACAACAAAAAAAAAAAAAAAAACCGGAGGGACTAGAAGAAAGAAAACAAAGAGGAGTTTTTTTTCTTTTTTTGCACAGCTTAGTTTGGTTACGGGGTCGGGCGCCGCGCGCAAAGAGATAAGAAGTTGCTTCGATTTTTCAAGATAAAAGGTCGGTTCATTATGCGAGTAAATATGGACACAAAAATTTTACTTCGCGTAATGAACGCCCCCCCTAACTTTGCATCGATTTTTCGGAAAAAAAAGTGCGTTCATTCTGCGAGTAAATACGGTATTCGCACACCCCTAATCATAGCCCAAGATGGCTGGTGCTCCCTTGACTCAGTGCACACCATCTGTAGGCAGCACTTATACCTATGCGCGTGCGCCATCTGCAAAGTGGCGGCGTAGACTGCCCAGAACATGTCTCTGATATTTTTATTTTGAACTAGGTATCTGATATTTTCGCTCTAAACTTTCCCTACCTGCTTGCACCTCAGTAGTAAACCGCAGTGGGATATGATGAGAAGCTGATTCTTGCGGGCTGTCTAAAGTGCCTTAAGAGGGTTATACATGCTGTATAACTGAGCATCACTCGTCAACATTCCATAGATCACATTCTCTTTGCATTAGACTTTCTTGACAATGGACAAAAATAAGAGATTAAGAGAGCTTTTTCATTAGTAAGCCCTAATTTCGGACGCCTCCTCTAATATGGTTATTCCAAAGAAAAAAGACAAGCTCTTGGCTGGTTTTATTTTCGGTGTTTGTGCTTATGGCACGTGATTTGCTCGCTTTGCAAAGCGACGAGCATGCACGTGCTGGGCTGAGGAGGTTGCACGTGCTGGGCTGAGGAAGCTTCTGCATATTGAAGTGGTGTCTATAAAGTGTTTCAATGAAAAGAAATGCACAGATAAGCGGGGATGCTAGATAGAAGTATGGGAAGAATTTGCGAACTATTGGTATCTACACTCTGTTGCATGTTAAGAAGCTCCTCCCACGAAGCCCTTCACCCTTTCCACTTAGCAGAGTGAACGCCGGAGAGGGGAGTGAGGAGGGTCTCTTCCTCTCCAGCGTTCCCAGGAAAAGCGTTCCCTAGTTTTCTTCACCTGCAACAAGCTATACGCCTCGCAAGTGGGCTCATTTTCGTCTTCTGCGCATGAGAAAGGAAGCAGCGGTGACGTCACAACGCCGAGCCCTGATTGGCTGATCGCGACCTCCTTTCTCAGCGTCGTCTGCTCCTTTGCACTGTCGTCTGCTCGCAACATTGTCTGCGTCTGTCTCACCTTTCCTGCGACTTTCAGAAGTGCAGGTCTTTACATGCGAGCTCGACTTCGCCTTTCACAGAGGGCAGACGAAATAACTCGAGCGGTACGTTGTTTTTGTCTAACAACTAGCAGACGCGCATCAAGGAGGGAATTCAGAGGACTCACTGGCGAGGTGTCCCGAGGCGCCGAGGTTTGTTTACTAAGAACCGGGAGGTGAGCGTGCAAGTTCCCTCCCAAATACTTTGTCCCTCCTTTCGTGTGCAGCGAGACCCCCCATTCTTTAACAGCGTCGGCGGGTTGGCGCAGTTGACGTCGTCTGCTCTACGTCTGCTAGTCAAAGCGATGGCTGCTTTACCTTTCCTGCGTCTGTCGGAGATTCACCGCTTTTTCACCGGCGAGAGTCACCGTTGCCTCGGGAAACAAGGAGATAACAAGAGGAAGAAATTGACCTCTTAATCCAAAAGTGAGGTCAGCGATCAAAGTATAATACGGGAAGGGTTCACAAGGGTCGCGCGGGCATATTCCACTCAGCACGCCAGCCGGTCGTGGGCAGACGGTCGCCGAGTCCGGGAGTGCCTGCTAGGCCTAACTGCCGTGCTCTCTTGGTCGCGTTCGGTAGAATCATGGCCGTTGTAGCTTTTCCCGGGTGTTTGTAGATCCAGCGTTTTTGTTCGTCGTGGTCTGTTTCAAGTACTTTTTACTTTTTAGAGCGCAGCTCTTAGGCGCCCGTTCCCGGCTTGAGCGGCGTCGCCGTCGCCGTCGGCGTCGCCGTCGCCGTTGGCGTCGCCGTCGGCGTAACCGCGCGGTGCATTATGGGTAAATTTCCCCGCTAAATCTAGCAGGAAAATTTCCCCGCTAAATCTAGCAGAAAAATTTTCCCGCTAGATTTAGTGGAAAAATTTCCCCGCTAAATCTAGCGGAACAATTTCCCCGCTAAATTTAGCGTAAAAATTTCCCGCTAGATCTAGCGGAAAATTTGCCCCGCTAAATCTGGGGGAAACAATTTCCCTGCTAAATCTAGCGGAAAACATTTCCCCGTTAAATCTAGCGGAAAAATTTCCCCGCTAAATCTAGCGGAAAATTTTCCCCGCTAAATCTAGCGGAAAAAATTTCCCCGCTAAATCTAGCGGAAAAAATTTCCCCGCTAAATTTAGCGTAAAAATTTCCCGCTAGATCTAGCGGAAAATTTGCCCCGCTAAATCTGGGGGAAACAATTTCCCTGCTAAATCTAGCGGAAAACATTTCCCCGCTAAATCTAGCGGAAAAATTTCCCCGCTAAATCTAGCGGAAAAATTTTGGTCACGTGACCCGGGGGGGTCACGTGACCTGGGGAGTCACGTGACACCCCGAGGTCACGTGACCTCCGAGGGGGGCATGTGACTGCCCCCACGTGACCCCACCAATGTCACGTGCACTCGGGGGGGGGGGTCACGTGACCCCCTCCCCCCCCCCCCGAGAACACGTGGCCCTCAGTACCCTTCCCTCCTCCTGAAGAGCTGCGCTCCAATTCGGCGTTACAGGGAGTGGTAAACGGCTTTCACTTTTTCTTGCTGCTTGAAGTCGGGACGCGTGAGAAGCGCACATAGAAAAATAAACGTCCGTGGGTCGTCGCGACCGCGACGCTGTCGGCCATGCTGATTTGATCGTAAGAAGTGCGTACGACAGCTTCAAAGCTGTCGTAGGATTTCGTCGTAACCTGCGCAAAACTTGCGAAAATTTCGTTTCGTGAATACAAATTTGTTCTTAAGTTATGGCTTACGCATATTTTTGGCGTAACATCGTTGCCTGCGACTTACGAAAGTCGCAGGAAAGGTAAGACAGACGCAGACGACGTTGCGAGCAGACGACATTGCAAAGGAGCAGACGACGCTCAGATAGGGGGGGCGCGATCAGCCAATCAGGGCTCGGCGTTCTGACGTCACCGCTACCCCCTGCGCAAGAAGCAGACGAACTTGCCCTCCGCATAGCAACAACATCAGGTAGGGCTCTAGTCTGGATATCAGCTATTTGTAGGGATCATTCGCTGTCACGCGAGTGCCATTTGGAGCAACTGCACAACGATGTGAAAGGCCCATTTGACAAGCAGCTTCAGGCGGCTGTGCAGGATTCACTTTGGCCACGCCCACATTGCTTGAACCCTCATTGTATTTCCTCTCTAAAAATAAAGTGACTTAGCCCGACGTGCGCTTGGCACCGCGGCCTGAACTGCTTCGACGATTGACTTTTTCGAATTACGGGAGTCTGCATGACAAATGACTCATTGCTCGTGCGATGCAGGTTCAACTGCGGAGGGCGTCCATGGAGCATGCTGACACGGACAACGACCTGTACCAGTGGCTAAAGGGCAGCAAGTTCTGCAGCGGAACTCTGGAAGGCATGCTCACCTTGGTTGACAGTGACAGCGCCCTCGAGGTCAAAGTTCGCGGACCAAGGGGCTCCTCCTCAAACTGGTGGGCAGATTTCATTTACAAAAATATTGATGGTTACTTCGAAACAATGGTTTCATAATGCATGAAATGTGAATGTTTTTTGGGTTTTGTATTTGTGTTTCATTTGTGACTTATGATGTTTTTCTTTGTTTCACTTTTCAAAAATATTTTATTTGTTTGACTCTAGTTAAATAGAGCTTGTTAAAGTTTACATATTCAGGTACTCGTGATGCCTCTGGATGCAGTCTAGAAATGAGGGAAGAGGGAAGCCATTTTGTAAAGATGGCTTTTGTGATGCAGTCAAATTTTGTGCTGGAAAATGTGATTTCTGTGTAAATACCTCGGTATACCTATGTTGTAAAATAAATGAAGAAAAAGATACAAAAGTTGAAGACGCTTTTTTTTCTAAAATGTCTGATATAACTGAAAGGTGGTATCAAGTGCAAGAACATATGGAATTAAAGTTCTCTTGAGAACTTCAATTCCATATGCCAATAAGCCATTGAGAATGTATATGCATATGAATTCAATATGCCATTGAGCGATTGAACCATTGAGAATGCATTTGGCTGTCACCTGTACTTTCAAGATTATAAGACTACTGCAAGGCCTTTGGGGCAGTTGTTGATGATCCCTTCTCAAAGCTGCTGATTGATCATGAACCATCAAAAGAAATCATCATAAAGTTCTTACTTGACTTTTTTATGAATATGCACTCAAAGTACTTGTAGCTGCATCAAGAAGTCGCCATGCGGAATGTGCATTCTTTAGGGAGAAACTGAAGAAGTCTCGGCCATCAAATTTTTACGTCTGGTAGCTCGAACAATGCCTTGAAAACACCGGGCTAACCAGACCAGCATTAGTTTCTCATAGCCCAGTTTCCAGCTGTAGTAAACAGTGGGGTGATTGCTGTGCCATTTGTGCCAAAGTGCTTACCCTACTAGGTCCTGCTACATTTTGCCAAAATATGATGATTTTGTGGCAACACTGCACCAAATTTTAATCAAACATAGTAATAGTTAAAATATAATTTTTCAGGCCCCGTTACACAGCCAGATTGTTACGGTAGGCTGGTGCGAATTTTCAAAACTGTCAATTATCGCCTCAAATAATGTGCTATTTAACCTTATCTCTCTGTCGAACACTGACAGTACTCGGAAGTTTCACAATATTTCTCACGTTTGTGGTCTGTTCTGACAGGTTAGTTTGATCTGCTAAAGACCAGCAGGCAGCCAGAAAGGAGGAAACTGCCCCTTGATTCCTCCTTTTTATTCGAGAAAGTGGGAAACCCTCCTTGGTTTCTGTGGGGAGTAGCTCAGAGCCCCACTCCTTTGGGGGAGGAGGAGCAAGAGGGAAGAGTGCAAGATGGAAGGAAACTGGGAACTAGTTTTGTTCCCTGCAGAAGAAGATTCCGTTGGAAGTAAAATTACTTGTTAGGATAGTTGGTGATGACTGTTTTGAACCAAATTTTAACCTTTAAGTGCGCGTCTCACCACGCACTGGTGCGCACTGCAGTGAAGCGACAACTGCAGCGAACTCCTGTGCTAAGGAGAAAGCACTCCTCTATATTATATTTAAAAAAAAAAAAAAAAAGAAACTTGGTGAGTGCTGGTTTAGATGTATGTTGCAGTATCCTTTTTAATAAAGCTACAGCTACTATATATAATAGACTGCATTATTCTGGTGTCATTTTGTTTTTAGATATGAGATATAGCATGTATATTTGGGTATTGTGAGAAGATTTATAAGGACTGCTCTATAGGCATATTTGTCAACTGTCTGTTCAGTTATCACTTTTATATTGGTTTTATCTGTTTGATGGCACAGTGAGTAGGGTAAATTAAAATTAAACTAGCCGGAGCAGTTGCTGGAAGCTTGGTAATAACCTTAATGAGTTTTCCTGAAATGATTTTATAAAATAAGGATATTTATTGTCCACATTCTGATGTTTGTTATTATGAAGTTCTACATCTAAAATCTTATTGATGTTCATGATCATGTGACAAATGCTTTTTTGGGGGGGGATTAAGAATGACAGTTTTATTATAACCCTAAGAACTTGAACGGAACATCAGTGTGGGTGTTCAAAATTATTCTATTCCAAGGTTATTTCGAGGGAATATACCCATTTGGTTTACCTTTAATTCCATACCTAAAGTAACCATTCACAGCAGTTTATACTGTCCTTCATCTATCAGCATAATGTTGCCATATCTGATGCTTCTATGCAGAACTCAACAGCTATTTTTATGTTGGTGGGAGTTAAACCTGCAGCACGTTTGATGCTAACAAAAGGTTGCACACAAGTGGGAATGCAAAGAGTAATTTTCTTGTAGTTGGACCAGCCAATATGTGAATCTTAACGTAATATTCGCAGTGGTAGTAATGTAAATGAGGTTTGTGTTTATATGCTCCAAAAGATGTTCCAAAATACTCACACGAATCAGATCACTGAGTTGACCAAAACAGGAGGGCAAGTAAGCTATCCACACTCATTCTTTAAGCTCCCACTGATCATGATATTCCTCTCAGTAGTGCCAGCAAATGGTTCTGAATCTTCAACTTAAGAGTATTGGGCTTGGCCCAACTTTTAGTTCGATCTGCACTTATCCATTGTTACAGCGAAACTGTTTATGGTTAGGGTTCTGTGGATTTTTCGTGTGCAGTGACTAAAAACTCTATGCTCGCACCGCCGCACGTGCACGCCTTCCCCGTATAAAAAATTCAAAGTAAATGACCAAACTAAAGCTTTGATGAGTATATGCAAGATGCCATTTGTTTTAGGCTTTTGTTTTAGAACAGTTACTGCTGCAGGTGCCGGCCTCTCGGGTAGATAATAAAGGTTTCTCAAAGATTTGCCGCTGTGCGACCTGTGTCGGCCATGTCTAAGCTCGCACCGCCCTCTCCATGTCGTCGTTCGAAGCCGCTTGCGTGCCTAGTTTCCTTTCCTTTCGCTTTCCTGGGGTGGCGGTCCCGTCGCGCGTGTCTAGTTCCCCCCGGCTTCTCAGGGCGGGTCTGTGTCACGTGCTAAACAGCTTTGCTGGTCATCCGCCTTGACAGAGTGCAATGGCTCACAATTTTTTTTTCTCTGCTTCTCAATATGGTCTAAAAGATACATTTCTTTGTTGCCCAATGAATGTAAAACCGATACACATTGTTCTGCTTTCAGACAACATTTCCAAACATCCTTTTTTCTACTCTTCTCCATGCAGCTTCTACTTCCTCGAAGACCTCCTGATGGTGGTTGACGACGTGCTGGGCGAGATCTGCCCTGGCACCCAGTTCGAGCGCCACCTACTCAGCGCCGTCGACCTCCAGCACCACGCACCCCGCCCCGCCCGGTACCCCGCGCGGCTCGTCATGCGCGCCATGCTCACGGATGGTGGAGGTCTCGCCGCGAAGGTCCCCCACCCGCAGACGGGCCTCCTCGAATCCGTCTGCGACCTGCTCTGCTGCCGGGACCTCGTGGCGGGCTGCGCATCCCTCGTCTGCGGGCCGGACACCCACGCCTCCCAGCTGTCCCTCCTGACGCGCCAGCGCCTTGGCGCCGCCCTGGACCCGCCCGAGAAGCTGGGGCGGGACTGGTGCCTCCTGGCCGTGCAGCTGGGCATGACCGACCGGCTCCCAGAGCTCGACCCCGACTCCAAGGAGTCTGGCGGCCTGCTGGGGGGGAAGAGCCCCATCGCAAGAGTGCTTGGCGAGTGGACTCTGGTCATGGACAGCACGATCGGGCACCTGGCGCGAGCGCTGGACGAGCTGGGGAGGGGCGACGCAGCGGACATCGTGCTCGGGACGTCGCCGTTAGTCAAGGTGGCGGTCGCGCCAGCGTCAGCGCCAGGAAAGCATGACGATGCAGGCATCTCTTCCGCAGCCGCCAATGCGGCAGCGGTGTCGGCAGCCTCCAGCTCCAACATCTCTCGTTAGAGTCCTTGAATGTTTCGTCAACGTACGGTCGGTGCTGAAAAATATTGGCACGAACGAGCAGTCTGCTGACTGGCGAAGGGGCAATACGTGGTGCTGTGGTTCCGTAGATACGACGGATGAGGTTTCACTTTCAGTTTCTTCGTAATGTCGCAACTCCACGTGACGCTACTTTCCCCACCCGAGCTGTCGTTCGCTCGTGCTAACCATTTTTAGTACCAACTGTATGGCGTGCAAATAAATGCTTCGTACCCACTTTTGTACAGAGATGATCTGTTAAGGTGCTGCATTTTGTGTCATCCCGCCTTGCTCCATCTGTCGGCAGCACATTCAAGTAAGCGAGCACCGTCTGCCCTGTCTGCTAACTATCGTCATAGATTGCCCAAAACGGGGATTTTTTTCAACGATGTAAGTTTGTCAGTTGATATTTTCACTTGAATCTTCTGCCACTTATCCGCACCTCTGTACTAGATCGGAACACCATACGTTGAGAATCCAATTTTTGCAGACTGCGTAAAGTGGGTTAGAAGAATTTGTTTACATGCTGTTATGGTTGTCACAAGCTTGATTGAGAGTGCTGAACCTTGAGTGGTGTGGTTGTGGACCTGTTCCTTTGCAACGGCTGGGTTAGTGCAGTTTTTTTTATATGTTTGTTTGTAAAGTGTGTTGAATAGAATCCATAGTTTATGTGAGCGAGTTATTGGATCCAGGTCCATCGTTTTATTTGCATGTGTACATAGGTGGATGCAATTGCTTGTTATGGCTAGTGTGATGTGCATTTTCTGATGGAACTGAGATGGAGAAAGCATAATATATTATGTGCCAGCTGCTTGCTGGTGTGTGAATTCAGTTTTAGTCGAGCATGCCATATTCACGCTTACTCATGTCGTTATGTAATTTACGAAAATTAGATTTCCACGGGAAGGAGTTCATAGAGAAATGGGAAAAATTATGCCTGATTTCCTTTATGCAGTTACATACTCCAAATCAAAAGAACACTACCAGAATTTATAAGATGAAGATTGTCTCCTTTCCTGCCAGTTGTACCATACTGTCTCAGAAGGGTTTGAGAAGATTGCAGCTTTGAAAAACTGGAAGATCAAAACAAGTTCAAAATTGTCATTGTGCCAGCATACGCTTTGCCAAATCTTATTAGCCCTGATGGTATGTTTTATTTTAATAATAGTCATGTGCAAATAGTGGATTTTGTGTTAGAAGCCAATAGTGGTTTTGGCTGAATATTCTCTAATCGAATATTGAATAGTTCCTCCAAGCCTTTCACTACTGTTGCGCCATGCTTAAGCAAAAACCCCAGCTAAACTCGTGAAGGTTGTTTCCAAACTTTCACTTCTTCATTTATAAGCTAATTCTAATCTAACAATATTTATGCACTGTGACCTCAGAATGTCTAATGCCTTGGGTTGGCAAGTAAGCAACGAATTTGACATAAAATCAATCCTATAGAGATGCCCAGCTATATCTAACTGAGTTGATTTACAAACCGTGCTATATGCAAACACTCTTTCTTCAATCTCAAATTTGAAAGAAAACAAATTAACAAATGATGAGTGCAGGTTCTCATGACATCTTTGCCTATCATATACTCTTGGATAACAACAATAGCTTAATTTCTGAAAATTCGACTGCAATATGGATAAGAACATTCAAAAATGTTTCTTTTTTTTTTAAATACACCAGGTACATGCATGCATCATCCCGCTTTGAAAGTGTGCTTTTATCCCAAGGTCACAATTGCAATATTCATACTCTGCCAAATGTTGATTGCTGCGGGTTACCCTGTTGAGTGCGCTTCATACTGAGCACCGGTGCACTGCGGAGAAACAACACCCGTGGCGCTTGCTTTTACAGGTGTTGCTTCTTCGCAGTGCATCCGTGCTCGATAAGAAGCGTGCTAAGCAAGCCCAACTGGCTGTGATCAACACTTAAAAAAATATTAATATCGCTGTTCCTCTCAAAGCGAATATTGAATAGTGTATTATTCGAAACTTCGAATATTTACACAACACTACTTAGTAGTTCTGTTTTTATACTTCACTTCTAAGCAGTGCTCAGTGGTCCCATCAGATATAGTATATTGTAGAATAACTCTATACCTCACTAACAAGTAGAGCCATCACTAATATTGATAAGAGATTGTGCACCTGTGAAGATCCTGCTTTTTGATTTTAGGGGTAAAGCTATCCAACGAGGTTTGTTTTACTTGTTGGGGAGCATGTCTTTGACTGGCAACATGTAACTATGTGACAGTGAACAAATGTGTGCTATCAAACTACTGTCACAATGTCGACTTATTGCCTGCCTTTGTGTTTTACAAGCTAACAGATTGTGATATATTGTGGTGCTTTACAATATCCTGGTTGTATGAATTGTAAACATGGTGTGCCTGCTTCACTTGTCTGCAATGAAGGACAGTAATATTATTTATGTTGTGCATGGCAATTTTCAGGGCCTTTTGCAAAGATTTTCATGTTAGCACACTATGTTCAGTTATTTACAACCTTTGTCTTTTAAAGCACAATGTTTGGACCTAATTTTTAATTTAGTATCTTTTAAAAGAATGAGTGCATAAATTTGATTTACATTTACAAGCATCATTCCACACATTGCCACATTTTTTTAATTCCCAATGGTAGTAGAGCATAGTGGTATTATCAGAATATGAAGATAGTGTGAAGTTTTCTCCATGTATAACATATAGGCAACCTTTCACATTACAGAGCCCTTAAATGTGCCAAGAAAGATTTTTTTTAAATTCAGCCATGAACAAATATTGCTTTGCCTTTTTCCATGCTTATAACATGCCAATATAGAACCGTGAGAGAAGAAACATTTATTAAAACAAAGTGATTACTTTGTGCTAATCATTCACCATGATTGCATTTCCACATTGGGCTGTTGTGCAAAAGCAAAGAAGTTTTTGTACCGATTTGTATGACCAAGCCTTCATTATGATATGACAACAGATTTGGGCCTTATCCACACATTTCTGCCATTGTTATGCATGTCTCTGATTGTGGCTTTATCTTTTCAAGAAAATAAAGACAAAAATAATCTGAGGCTATATTGGATGACTTTCCCATGCATTAACTTTATGAATTTTTATGCTTAATTTTCTGATGCTGTGCTTGTATATTCTTAAATGCCAGCCATGACGTGTCCCTTGGTAGCTGCTAGCTACTCTGCCAAGGCTTTTACATATTCCTTCTAGTCTTAATGTCATAGCCACCACACCATGCAGCCAGTCTTAGAACAATCATCATATCATTTAATTTTATTTTGACTCAAGGACTTTCTTTTGGATACATTACATGAGCGAGGATTTTCAAAATAAATGCAAAAGCACATTACGAATAACTGGTACAAATCAAATTTCCCTTTGACCGGTTACAACATTGTATAGCACATCCCAGCCACTCACAAAAACTTCAAATTCTAGATTCTGCGAAATTCCACCTTCAGACAAAAAATATACAGTAGGACTCTTTTTTTTAATTGTTTTACAGTGGAGAAACATAACTTTCACAGGAAAATCAACACCATTGTTAAAAAAGGAATAGTTTTTTTTTTTTTCAAACGACGCATACATGTTTTTGTGTACACCAAAGCATTGTCACTATTCAGTGAAACTGTCAACTTGAAAACATGTCATCACATTTCTTTGTGCATGCCAGCTTATTCTGTTGAAGTCACTATAAAAAATGGCCGAGGCTACATCCACGCGTGGGGACGTAGCCAAGTCGGGAGGAGATAGGGCTCCATCCACGCAAAAGGTCAGGTGACTTAGGATATAAGGAGATAATTTGTTTTTATGTACATATTATGCTTTCTTATAAGTAAATATAGGATGTAAAAATAAAGCGGTTACATTTCATTGTTGTTTTAAAAGTTAATATGTCACGTGACCTTAGAAAGTTTTAGACAATTCATCAATTGTTTACTGTTTTCTAAGAATAGTAGCAAATATCATACATCATAGAAATAGTACCAATATATATTTTTATAGTTATGTTGTCCAGGGCGGCGGCGTGCGTGCCATCCAACGGTGCCATCCGTGCGTACGGGCGGTGCGGGTGCGGCCTCTGGGGCCTTCGCCGATGTGTGCATCGCTGCTGAGGCGAGGCGGAGAAGCTTCGTCGTGTGTGTGGTTGGCTTGGTTCGAAGTGTTTTAATGTGAGCTTATGTGTATCAAAGGGGGCAAGTACGTGCTCACCGCTCCATGCGTTCTTGACTTTCGCGCACGCTCGCAATCACACAAAGATTGCGAGAAAAGGGAAAACATGCATTAGTCCCATTAATAACAAACATACTGAGAGAATGCAATCGAGAAAACTGGGTAAAAGATTCCAGAAACAGTTTATTCCATGAGAAATAAAACAGTAGCCGATTCACAGATGCCACTCGTCCACGAGATCAGCGATGAAAGCGGAGCCCTTCTTGCGGCAGAACTCCTGCAGGAGCCAGTTCACGTCTCTGTGCCGATCATTAAACACCTGGATCTCGGCACTCTTGACTACGCTGACACTCCATCGAAGAGAACCTGTTCTCCCGCCTCGGAAGGACGGAAGAAAAGGCGATCTGCATCGTTGGATTGCGTTCCAAGATCTGAGCGGCCAGCCGACGATACTTGTCAACTTACGCGCTGGCGCAAACACTGGTGTTGTTTGTGCCAAAATCGAGCAGGGCGTCAGACACCTTGGAAAACAAAGCCTCAATCCTAATGCCACTAAACGCCCGCACTTTGACAGCCACCCGGTTATTCTATGGGAAATACTAGGACAAGTATTTCACCGTCGAATCCCCGGCAACCAAAACTTGAGGCAGATCAGAAGCACGACCGTGCTGACACTCAAACGGCCAAACTCCTTGTCCGAGAAAACAGGGAAAAAAAAAGCTTCAGAGAAAGTCGAACCCGCTTGCGGAAGACCAGGCAGACACAGTAGACAGTAGTCCGCGCACGGCAGGAACGCAAGGTGCAATGGCCGCCGAGCAGATGGAAAAACAATGTGTGGCTAGACCGGAAGTTGATCGTAGTGCGCTGGGGCTAGATAAGAGGGGGAAAAATCGCGCGGGCGCCTTACCGCAACCGCTAGCCTTGTACCTGCTCCACGAGTGGTAACTTTAGTGCGCTACTACTCGTCTCACGCGCTCAAAGTCTTTCTGAAAATGACTGATTTAGTGGTTTTCGATAACGCTCAGCAACTTTCTAATTGGAACCATATGTCTATTTACCCTAATTAAAAAGTTAATTGACAAGTTTTAATTAATTATCTGGCTAATTAGTAGGTTTTTGGCAATTCCTGCCGTCCGCCGTGGCTGGTAGTTTGTTTCCGAAGAGAGTTTCTTCTTTTTCAATCGCCCTAATTTTTAGGATTTTTGAAAGTCTTCGCAAAAACACCCGGTATATAGACGGGAGCGGGAGTGGAATTGGGTAACTGTGGAGAAAACGCATAGTTCGTTTGTTAGCGAACGCCAGAGCTGAATGACTTATTATGGCGTGCAAACAGGGGCTGGAATGCCCCAGTCCTTGTGTGTCTCAGCTCACTTCAGAAGATAGGGGGGGGGGGGGACAATGGTAAAAGTGAGAAACACTGGCGAGCAGAAGAAGAGAGGTCACCTTCTGCTGAGAGGACAGAGTATTTCATTTTACAGCCTTTAGAACTGAGTATGGTGGCGTGCGCGAACTACAGGGGGCGCTTCTCTAGCTATCATCACCGTCGTCTGTGACGTAGCGTGTAGGCGAGAGATCAGACTACAGCGGGGGGGTCTGCAAACCCCGGCCCGCGAATTGCCGCGGTCTTTCCAGTGACGACAGGCCCGCGGCCCGCTGCTACCAACGCAAAAAATAAGCGCTCGTGAAAAAAATCGGCGCCGCGACATGGAGCCAAAGGCGTAAACTAAGTTATCAGAAAGAATGAAAGAAAGCTGTAGTGTTGTGCGAATATTCGAATTTTCAAATAGTAGTTTCGAATAATACACTATTCAGTATACGCTTTGAGATGAACTGTTATATTCGTATTCTTCGAAGTATTGAGCTCGGTGGGCTAGCCCCGTTAAGCGCGCTTCTTATCGAGCACCGATGCACTGCGGAGAAGCAACAGCCGCTGAGCTCCCTTTCGCGGGTGTTGCTTCTATGCAGCGCACCGGTGCCCGGTTAGAAGAGCGATCGACGGGGCTAACCCACCGCGGTCAACACTTCGGAAAGTACAAATAATGTAAAAACAAACACAAACTTTGGGAATGTTTACTACAGTAAAATGTTCAAAATGAAGCTAAGGCTGTTATGCAAGAGTATACACCAACTCATCTCTGTGACGTCACGGCGCGGTGGTGGCGCGTCGGTCGCACTTCCGGTCTGGGGCTGTGGGCAGAAGTCCGCATGCCGGACGTGTATTCCTGCGTTGTTTTGAAGAGAACTAGCCAAAAACTTGCCTTCTCGTCAAAATGCCGGGACTGGGGCCGTACCAAAGAGACGAGAAACGTTTGAAGGTCAGTTTTCACGTGCTCGGTTCGTCCGAAAATCTGGATATGTGCCGTGAAAAGGGAAAAGCAGACGCCGTCAGACAACGATTGCTTGGGCGGGAAGCACTTTGAGTTAAATTCACGGATACTCGTAGTTATCAGATTTATTTGTTTTATTCCAACATGAACGCCAGAAAACCATCAAGTTGTGCGGACCACCTGCGGACTACGTTCAGTGCGTCTTCAAGTTCAAACGGCCGCCTGATCGTTCGAACTGTCGTCTGCTCTTTCAAAAGTTTCTGCTTGTCGTCTGCTCTCTTAGACGACGCCGGCCCGTAGATTAAACGTTGGCCCGGTGCTTGCTATACGAAGTAAGCGCAGGTCTCAAAAGACTTAAGTTTGAAGGTTGGTAACCAGACTGGATGTAAACAGTAGATACAAGCAGATGTTGATCATTGTCACGAGTGACGATCACTGACTTGCTATGCCTAATTGACTTGGTCCGATTCTGCTTGCGATTTTCAGTACCGACGTCGACTATCTCAGCTACGGTTCACGCTTTCGCAGCCCGAGCGGCGTCGCGACTGAAAATTGTGAGTGAAATCTCATCATGCGAATCAGGTTTTAGCGTACATACTGCGGCGTCCACGCGGAGTGAATCGCCACATGTCACATTATTCACGCGAAGTTTCGCGGTGTAACGAGCCTCGGTAATTTCGCCGACGCCGCTCAAGTAATCAGACATCGCCAGGAAGACGTAGAATCAACAATTCGAACGCGAAAAAAAGCAGGGGGACTCACACCGACGCCGACAACATCGCATTTCAATGGTTTGTTTATGGGCGACGGCGGGCTTCTTGCCCACACCCCCATCGCGCATGCGCGGCGCCGGTGGCGTCCGCTAAAGGCGCTCCGGTTTGTTTGTAAACATGAGTTGGTGTATATGTTAAGCAGATATGTCCTGACAACCTACGTTCATCATCAACGATTGTCTTTTTTATTTTCTCAAATTCTAGATTTAATAAAGGATATTTGCCCATATAGCTAGAAGATTTATAAATCCCCTCAATCAGGTACAGCTGGACATCTCTTATAGGTTCAAATGTATGCCCAATGCATCGTTTACTTGTCATTTCAATGCAGGCAATGACCTTTCTGAGGTCACAGTCCATAAATATAGCTAGATTAAAATTACCTTAGCTATGAACAAGTGGAACGTTGGGAACAATCTTTACTAGTTCAGATGTGTTTTCGCTTAGGCATGGTGCAATAGTCAAAAACTTGGAGAACCAATTTAATATTCCATCCGAAAATAGTCGGCCAGAATCACTATTCGCTTCGGAATCGCTCCGAACCCAAAATTCCTATTCGCACATGTCTACAAACTGCATCAAAGCGCTGGTTCTCTCGGTATATTGTTTATTGTACATTGTCATCATCAGCATTGTTATTCGTAGTTCCCTGCTTCATATCTGCGTAACTACAAAAAAATTCCTTTGCGTTCTCATGTTCTCGTGAATAGTGATCTGATCTGATCTATCATTTTCATTTGTCTTCTGCATTTTGTGAATATGCTAAAGTTCCTATGCGCGCTGATTTATG